CCATAAGGAGTTTCTTTGATGCCCATCATCCTCTTTGAAGTAATTGGTGTTGCCAAGAGCAGATGTGTCTCACTGTTGAGAAAAGTCTAAGTTCTTAAAACATTTTAAATGCCATATTCTGTAGGTCTTTGAAGTGTTTGAAGATTACTTATCTAATTGAAATATATCTTTGTATACCTAGAAAACCTAACTAATATGGCTATAAGTTTGACTATTATAGATGACAAACTCTTAATCTTATTTTTAATTATGCATTATGCTTTTAAATGAGCTGCATAAACATACCTTAAACAATAGTAGAAATATGCACACAATATAACTAAATTGACTTCAAATTTGTATCATTAAACTAAAATCCATACCAATGTAAAATATTTTGAGATTAACAGTTGTTTTTTGGATTAAAGTAGATTCAATAATCTACCCTTTTTTTTTTCATGTAGAATCTACCTTTCCCCCCATCATTTCTATATCATACCTCATTTCTTTCTTAGAAAAGATTGACTATGACCATTAACAATTTATAACCAACCCCCCCTTATATGAAAATAAACATTTGTAAATAATATTTTGAGAATTTGGGTGTAGTTCTCCAGACAACTTCCTGCTGATTGGGGTTACTGGTAATCTTATGGAGACCCTGAGAAAATTTAGAATCGTGGTTCAAGTCCTGGGAAGACCAGTTATAACCTTTGTTGATAAATATCACCTGTCAAGGTTCAGGAGGTCTCCCTTTTTGCATGAATTCTAATTGGTCTTAATAATGAAAACCCAGAGTCAGACATGGGGTAAATGCTGAAAGATCAGAGAAGTAAAGAAGCCAGATATTAGAGAGACTTTTGTTACCTCTACAAAATTCTCAGACTAAAAGGGGCCAGCAGTTCTTGTCTCCACCCCACCTTATCACTTCCTCTCTCTGCCCAGCCATATCACTTTCTATCTGTCTGTAGAGACCTCCAGACCTCTATGGTTAACTAATGGCCAGCTCCACCCTCTGATCTTCAGGCAATCTTTATTTGTTAAAGCACAAAGAAAATATCACCACATTTCTCCCCCTTTTTTGTCTAAAATAAAAAAGAATGTCATAATAATATAAGAAAAACTATACAATAGGTTCAATAACTATACATAATATATACAGGTAATAAATGCATCAACAATGTCTAGTCCATTAACAATTGACAAATTCAGAGAAAATATTCCATTATCTTTCCTATTTTTGTGAGTATAAAGGTTGTACCTAATTCACTTTTTAGTTTAACTTGCATAACCAAAACTATCTTTTAATGTCTCTAAAACTTATACACTTTACATCGCTTTAGTGAATTTCTTTTTTGAATTTGGTAACAAGAAAATCTATAATTATAACTATAAAGTCTCCAACTCCATCAGAGACCTGAGAAGGAATTAATATTAACTGAGTAAGCAGGAAGTGCAAGCAAGCAACTTCCAAAAAATGTGAGAAATGACAGAAACACCTGGCTGCCTGGACAGTCACCCATGGTTCCTACATAATGTTGGGCCATCCATCTTTGGCCTACAGGCCTAGAATATTTGAATGACTTTTCTATGAAGCAGGATTTTTGAAGGACTGTCCACCTTATCTTGGCAAAGTTCAGCAGTCAGTTTCTTTTGTGTCTTGCTTGTCCAATTTGGATAGCATACTCTCAGCAGTCAAGGCAAAGGCACTTTCTTGCCCAGTGGTTAACTTTTTCCACAAAGAAAGTAAACTCCATATGGACTTTCTTCAGTGCCCATCATCTTCTCTGAAGTAGATTGGTGCTTTCAGGAGCAGACATGTCTCATTGTCTTAAAAAAAAAAAAGAAAAAGAAAAGACAAGAAAAGAAAAAAAGAATCTATGCTATTAAAACATCTTAAACGCCTTATTCTATAGATCTCTGAAGTGTTTGAAGACCACCTGTCTACCCAAAACATATCTGTTTGACCTTGAAAATATGCCTAACATAAGTACACATATAATTGTAATAGGTGACTAACTACGAACCTGCATTTCTTTATTATCCTAAATAGTTTGTAATAATAACTTTCAAAGACTAGAAATCTGCATTACATTGTTACCTTGTACAAGACTAGAAATGTATGTACAGTATATTTTAACAACTTTGTATCAATAAAGCTTGCTTGAAGATCAGTGGGTGGAGCTGGCCATTAGTTAACCATAGAGGTCTGGAGGTCTGTACAGACAAACAGAAAGTTATATGGCTGGACAGAGAGAGGAAGTGATAAAGTGAGGTGGAGACAGGAGCTCAGTCCCTTTTAGTCTAAGGATTCAGTAGAGGTAAGAAGTCTCTCAAGTGACTGGCTCCTTTACTTCTCTGATCTTCCAGCATTTACCCCTATATCTGACTCCAGGCTTTTATTATTAAATTAGATTAGAATTCTCGCTACACTCCTTTATCAAACCCAATCCATCTTAACCTGGAAGGAATCTACAGCCTTTTGTTTCCTGTGGAAACAAAATCAAAACTGCTTCTCCAAAGCAATGCATCTTTTAAGTTCCATTTTACAAATATATTTTTGACTTCTATTTTAAAGTTAAGTTATTCTTAAACTATCTAGGCTGGAATATTCCCCCTTTCAATCTCCTATCTCTTAGCAGCTGTTGTTTGCTTATCAGCATTGAAAAATTCAAAATCAACACAATACTATACAGGATACAGACTCCCTGTGTATTCTCCATCCCCATGGGGCTCATTTTCTTTATATTACCTCTCTCTTTAAAGATTTTACTTATTTTTAAACTATTCATTTTTTCTATGACTATACCCTTTTTCTTTTCTTAAGCCTACGCACATTTCTCAAACATGCTATGACCCTTTAGAAGCATTTTTGTCTGAATCTGTTTTTTTTTTTGTGTGTGTGTGTATTTTTAACCCTTTGTCTGTATGAGTAAAAACTAAATCTGCCATGCAACATGCTGTGCAGCTTGGAAATGCCTTTGTGTTCCACTGGAATGATGTATCTCAAGTCTGCATGCCACGGTGTCTCTGTACCATGGCTCACATGAGAGACCAGGAAGCCCAGTTTGGCTCCATTTCTGTGTGTTAGAACCTTTTTTTTTTTTTTTAAAGATTTCTCAGGCTTTATGTGGATGTATGGGTGGCATGTTCCCAAATAATTGACTCAGAGGCTTAATGTGTATTATAAATGCTTGGCTAGTAGCTCAGGCTCACTGTTAACTAGCTCTTACACTTAAATTAACCCATAATTCTTTTTTAAAAAAATTATTTAAAATTTTTAATTTCTTTACCTTTATAGTCTCTGGAAAAGAGAAAGGCTTTGCCTGGGATCTGTGAACTCAAGTTTCAGCCTGCTGATGGCTTTGGCTCTCCACAACCTGATGTAGTTCCTGCCATCAGAGCTTGGCCTCCCCCTTGCAGGTCTGCTCTTCTCTTGAGTCTCTTTCAGACATGCATCTGGTGATTGG